AAAGTCACATCTAAATACTTAAATATAGTTAGAAAAAACAAGAGAAACAAGAAAGATATCAAATCAAATAGCACGCAAAAATCATGTAAGCAACAAAGGTGAAGATATTTTTGTGATGTCTTAACTTTAAATTTCTATATGTAAAAGTAACGATTTATTTTCTTTAAAGGCGGACCAGTATGCTACGTTGCGTGTCGTGCCGTCGTGGGAGGAACTGCGTTAGTCGGGACAGCAGCCATACTACCAGCAATAGGTTTCACATCTTTTGGAATAACAGCTGGGTCATGGGCTGCAACATGGATGGCTTCATTTGGAGGTGCTGTACCTGCCGGTAGTATGTTTGCTACTTTTCAATCGGCTGGAATGACGGGGGCTACTGAAAAATTTGTCACTGGAGTTAATGGTTTCGCTACTTTTGTTTGTGCTGCCATTTGCGCACCCTTGCTGTAAATAGTAACGATGTGTCTTATTTTGAAATAAACAGCACTATGTCTGTCTTTCCCTTATCTTTACAACATTATGTAGCACGTATTATATGATCATTCTGGCTTTTTACAGTTAATATTTATGTCTTCTGCATGATTAAGGTTGTGTTTGATTTGATATATTGGAAATATTATAGTACAAGGATATGAGAACTTATATATTTAAGAAGATTGATTGATTGATTGTTGGTTGCTTAACGTCCAGTGGCAAATATTTCATGCATATTCAGGACGAGAACAAGTTCACAATAAATACAATAGGTAGGTTCTGTAAAAGATTAAGGGATTAAGGTCGGAGAAATTTAGACTGCCACGGGAAATGAGGGTATATTGGATAGGGACAGAAATTTAGCCTTGCAACAGGTCACCTACGGACCCCTCAATGAGTTGTTGCAAGGGTTCTTAACGTGCAAAGAGCGTGGCACTCTCTTTACACGAGGCATCGGATTTAACGTCCCCATTCTGACCGGACGTGGCTGCAAATTTGTACATCCCGCACAGCCAAACGGACGCCCCACTTTAGCACGGGTTTTACTGCCGGTCGGAGGAAGACCAATGGTGACCATACTTCTATTCCCCAGTCACCCTTGGGGGGCTATTTAAGAAGACGTGTGTTAATAGTAGTAGTAATACAAATCTTAAGTTTTCAATGTTTTGTTAATATATTTATCTAGATGTATATATTTGTTTGAAAATGTTTACATAGATGTATTCCTTCAAATATTTTGAAGAACAAAACGCTGATTGTAACCTACCAATAAAAATAACTATTCCCGACTTGACAAGGCGCAATGGTTCAGCAACAAAATAGAAACGTAACGCTACGGTTTGGTGTTATTCAGTTTGGAAAGTTTTTAAGTTTTTTTCAACCTTGGCCGTGTTTGGCACAACTTTTTGGAACTTTTGGTCCTCAATTCTCTTCAACTTTGTACTTGTTTGGCTTTCGAACTTTTTTGATCTGAGCGTCACTGAATGGTCTCATGTAGACGAAACGCGCGTATGGCGTATTAAATTATAAGTCTGGTACCTTTTGATAGCTATTATTTGTGTGTGTCTCTGTCCTGTATGTTCTCCCATTTATTTGTATTGTAGTCCTGTCATGTAATCTTGTCATTTTAATGTTATATTTAACATTGCCATAAAAGCGGGAGGTTTGGCTAGCCACAAAACCAGGTTCAACCTACCATTTTTTTTTCTTAAAAATGTCCTGTACCAAGTCAGGAAAATGGCAATTGTTATCGTATAGTTTGTTTTTTGTGTGTGCTTCATTGTCGTTTGTTGTTTGTTCACTTCAGTGTTTCTGTTGTTTCGTTGTCCAAATGTACTATATTGTATTGTTTATTTCGGTAATTCTCTGTCCGTAATGTTGTACTGTATTCATGTCATGTAATGGTGTCATTTTAGTATTATATTTAGCATTGCCATAAAAGTGCGAGGTTTGGCTAGCCACAAAACCAGGTTCAACCCACCATTTTTTCTAAAAATGTCCTGTACCAAGTCAGGAAAATGGCCATTGTTATAGTACAATATTATAGTTCGTTTCTGTGTGTGTTGCATTTTAGTGTTGTGTTTCTGTTGTGTCGTTGTTCTCCTCTTATATTTGATGTGTTTCCCTCAGTTTTAGTTTGTAACCCGGATTTGTTTTTTTCTCAATCGATTTATGAATTTTGAATAGCGGTATACTACTGTTGCCTTTATTTTACATTATATCAGATTTCTGGTATCATACGACAGCTTTTTCAAACTGATTCCAGGAATATCTAGTTTTTATACACTTGCTTAAAATACAATAGTTATAATTTGCTACTTCCGGTGTCAAATGATAACTGTGTTTTCACTTATTCCAAAAATATATGGTTTCTTTTTACGTGTGAATTTACTAATAAAGATCATTACCTATAAGTTCATTTCCGTTCCCAAATGATTTATGTATCCCTTTTAAACATTTTTTTATTGTTTCTAAGCACTTCAAGGAGATACGTGCAATTTTGGTTTACTCAAGATACATGTATCTTCCGGTCCACATGTTTCAAGGTCATATGTCACCAAGCATGTTATTCAAGATTTTATATATGGCTTTATCAATTACCAAGTTGAAGTAAAAATGAAATACAAGTAACATTAAGTTTAAACATTTCTAAAAAAAACTATAAAAGGTTTTGGATTGTTGCAGACTATATGGTCATACTGGGAAAACACATCAAAAGTACACAGAATAGTGGTAAGACCTCATAGTAATAATAATAATAAGAAAATCTATAGGTCTTGCCACGAAAAAGTGGAAAGACTTAAATATTCATATAAAATATTATATATAGCAAAACAAGCAAAACAATTTATCAATTAGTTAAATTGAGGTCTGGAGCTTGCATGTCAGTCACTGCTTGTAGTCCTTTGTTAATTGATGTTTATCGATGTCAATTTTCATCTGTTACCTTATCTGCCATAGAATTTTGATTTCTTTTAAACTAAGATTTACTGCGCGTATTGCTGTGTGCTTCTCTTTTCATCAAAACCCGTTTAGAGGTATAGGACAGGGTCGAGATCACACACAACGTCGCATTATTGCGTATGTCCTAAGTCAGGAACCTCTGGCCTTTGCTAGTCTTGCATGTTTTTTTTTAATTTTAGTTCATTCATATAAATCGGAGTTAAGTGTGACGTCCATTTTCTCCGAACTAGTACACATTTGTTTAAGGGACCAGCTGAAGTTCCTATCCGGGTGCGAGTTTTTTTTTATCGCTGTGTTAAAGACCCATTGGTGGCCTTTGGTTGTATTCTGCACTTTTGTTGTATTGTTGTCTCTTTGACACATTCCCCGCTAATACAACGTCTGCATATTCTAATACAGGTTGAATAAATGAGACATATTTTTTCCAGAGTAAATGTTTGGTACCATTAAAACGTTGAATCCCGCTGCAATTGGTTGCACCTGTCCTAAGTCAGGAATCTGATTACAGTAGTTGTCGTCTGTTTATGTAGTTCATACGTGGTTCTCGTTTCTCGTTTTTGTATAGATTAGACCGTTGGTTTTTCCTTTTGAATGGTTTTACACTAGTAATTTTTTGGGGCCCTTTATAACTTGCTGTTCGGTGTGAGATAATGCTCCGTGTTGAAGGCCGTACCTTGACCTATAATGGTTTACTTTTATAAATTGTAACTTGGATGTCTCATTGGCACTCATACCACATCTTCCTATATCTGTCAAGTAAATTTTTCACTTTCCTCATCATATTTATTCTTTTGTATGATTTGTTAGTAATATATTTATGATCTTTTAATATGGTCATTTCAGCTTCCCTTATTTGAAAAATAAGACACCAAATGTTTATGCTTTTCAACTATTTTTACCTCTAGAGTATTAAGTTTTAGCGGGGGTTGATGAGGATTTTTTTTCGAAATAATCAAACTAACTGTCTTTCCCAAAGTCATTTGAAATATTTATCAATTGGTTGACAGTAGAACATCATAGTGTAAAGCCAGACTGTTTTTTAGTAATAATGTAATTGTTTTTTAAGGATGGTCGCTACTCTGTTTCAAATAACAAACGTTGCACGAGCAAACTGGTTTTCGTGAAAATCGCCAGTGGTAAAAGTAATCGAATGTACATGTGCTCTCATTAGATGCCATATTTATAGAAGTTTCTAATTTTTCCCAAATGTCCGAGTTACTATTGGGGGTATATATAAGGTTCCACGTAGTGCTTTCTCCGTTAAATTTGAGCTCTAGCCATACTGCTTCCAACGTATCAATTTCCAGGTCAGCTCGACGGATTACATGTATAGTATTTTTGACATAGACTTTTTCTCCCTTGCTGCTTTATGCTGACCTCTGTTGCGACGAAATGGGTCTTGATTATTTTGTGTTTAATTGATTCGTCGTCATGACTTATGTTAAGTAAAATCTAAATTATCAAATTCAGAGTATTCGGCTAGTATAGGGTAAATTTCGGAACTAGACTTTGTATATTCGAGTGAAGAATTAAACGGGATTTAGAGAAAAGCTCGCCAAAATCCGATATATCAGACGAGTTTATGGATCTATGAAATGAATCCATAAGTTTATATCACAGACTAGAACGATATATATAATATATATAAATATATCAAAACATAACACCAAGTTGCTTATCACAGACTAGAACGATATATAAATATATATTTATAAACATAACACTAAATTACTTATAGATTTAAACGATATAACCATGATTACCGATGAACAAAACATATATATTTATTAAACAAAAGAATAGCAAAATATACTTTAAAAAAAGGACCAAATCGATGCTAATATTTGATGTTACTTGTGTTGTACTTAATCACATTGAAGCATCCACACGGTAACAAAATGTACAGTTGAGTATCAGTTGCAAGGTGAAATGATATTTTTATCAGAAACGACTGAATGTTCCAACAAGGACTTGCATCCAAAAAGCAATTTTAAGAACATACAAGTTTATTTCATAAGCATATATATTTGGAATGAAAACATATCAAACTATCCTATGTTATTTAAAAAGAGAGTAAGCACAAATTAGATCCAATCTTAATTCACACATGAATATCACTTGATGTATCATCTTATTCTATTCAAACTGAAGTTGCTGCTCAATAAAGTTTCATAACTTCTATAACATGTGTTTCGTATGGCACATGAATAAGCAATACAATGCACAACTGAACAATTTAACAAGAAAAAAAATTGGTTTTACAAATTTTTCAATTGTTTAATGAATATTATTTTTAATCGAATTCATATTGAACAAAAAGTTATAGAAGTTGCATTTGTTTCAACAAAAATATGTACACATAAATAAATATATACTCTGTGAAATTTGAAAAGTTGATCTGTAAATAACCCAAACAAAATTCCTTACTAACATTTACACTATTTACATTGAATTTCGCTTTCGCTATTATGAAACTTATACAATTTCGATGAACGCACTATTGTGTCATCTGGTGCACAAGACAAAGTTTGATAAAATTTTCTATTTTAGTATTGATTTTTCTTTGTTATATTTTATATAAATTCCTTACATTTGTAAGCATCACACGAAGTATGTTTTCAGGAATCCATGTAATAAATCTATTTATTGCACGAAACTAATTCTTTATTAGAAAAATCATTTCTGAATTTGTAAGAAAATGATAACGCCTTTCTCGCAAACGCTCATACTTAGTCAGTAATAATGGTATTAAATAAGGAATTATCATTCATTTACATACTCCAACTTAATTTTAAAATGAATACCATAATAGTGCTAATAAACACAATTTTACATAAGAAAAATACATATCTTCCATACACAATGTATCAATCTGTTCCTTTACATACATTTTGATGATCATAAATTCATCCGAAATATTATTTTTGTTCATTTAATTTTCTTGGTAGTGAGAACATATACCAAAAAAAAGTTTACTGGTTCGTCCGACTAATATCACCTCAAACACATAAATCTGACGAAATATATAAATATACACAAATTCAAACGAATGTCTAAATATTTCACGACATTTATCTTGGACGGTATTTATCTTTGCGAGCTGCCTAGAAAAAGACTCAAAATCAAAACTTAACACACGCACATTTCTGAAAAAGTTAGATAAAAGGTTCTATTTGAATCCCTCCATATACATAATTTTTCAAAATATTGAAGAAATTGTCACAATATTTGTTAAAGTTGTAACAGTTATGAATATACTGGTAAAGGTGTTTTATAGTTATAGCAGTGATATCAAAACTGCGACTAACTTTTGAATGCTCTTAGAGTCGGGTTGTGAAAAACATGAAATAACCGTAACAACGAAATGTAGCAACTGTTACAACTTTACAGCTTCTGTCAGTAATGAAAGTTGCTTGTGTTTATACAAAAGTGAAATTTTCTGTTTTCTTGTCGAAGAAGTAGCTACAGCGAAGAATACCTGGAAGTAAAAAATACGCATATATAACAATCAGCCCAAACTATGCTATAGGATTTCACTATTTGAAAAAACTACAGACAATTTCAGGAGTCCCTATTAAAACATATATATTTGTAATTATGAGCTATCACCTCAATATATTGTTGTCGTATTATATTTTTATATAAAACATTACCATATACTCATGGAATACGTGCATTTCTCTATAATAAAATGCTAATATTCAGCCCTTTTAAAGAATATATGTTTCGATTATATACCAACAAATTTATCATGCACCGCAAAGAGCATGTTTATCAAGTTAAAGGTTTACTCTAGTAAAAAAAATGCATTTTTATTTCATTTTATTTCAATAAATGTGCTTTTAATTATACGTAATTCATGTATCTGATAAAATTGAATTCCGCAGCATTTATTTCGTTAAAAAAACTCTCAAAAAGTTACAAAGAGAGTTAAATGCTGCTAAGACCCCAAATTACATGTACATCTCGCATTTTCGTTCCATATTTGAATAACATATCATAACTTTAGCTCCCGGCAAATTTTACTTTAATTTGGTTCAATTCTATTAAATTCCTAATGTTAGTTTTTGTTGACGGTCGTAAAGTTGTAGGTGTTGGAGAGGTTATTTGTAAATTGGGACACCGGGTTGAGAGATTGCTCCTTGTCGAAATTTATGTCAGACCGATAGTATCCCAGATTAGTTGTGCATACTTAATTACAATAAAATGAAACAGACACAGTGGACTTGAAATAGGACAGCAAAAATGTCTTACCTCAAATTTCATTTATTTATTAGTGTTCGAACTTAGGCAACTGGTTGCTACATCTGTAATGAAACAAACCATATATTTGACATATGCATGCATATTAATTCTTTTAGGCTAAAATTGCGATTGAAATAATGATCTAATATTTTTTTAAATAAAAATATCACGTTATTAATCATGTCAGTTTAAAACATGTACACATAGAACTGATACACTATCAGTATACTTCATTACCTTGATATCCACATCTTTAGTATTGATCTTAATTTAACCTAACGTTTTGTTACTTATGATTTTTGCTTTTCATTAATCACATTTTTGATTTGTTCTGCCGAATTGCTAAAAAGTAAAATCACAAAAATACTGAACTCCGAAAAAAATTCAAAACGGAAAGTCCCTAATCAAATGGCAAAATCAAATGATAAAACACCAAACATCAAATGAATGGACAACTGTCATATTCAATGTACAAAATTCATTTTTCCTGAAATTAAACTTGCATGCAACAACCACGCAAACATTTGATTGATTGATTGATTGTTGGTTGCTTAACGTCCAGTGGCAAATATTTCATGCATATTCAGGACGAGAACAAGTTCACAATAAATACAATAGGTAGGTTCTGTAATAGATTAAGGGATTAAGGTCGGAGAAATTTAGACTGCCACGGGAAATGAGGGTATATTGGATAGGGACAGAAATTTAGCCTTGCAACAGGTCACCTACGGACCCCTCAAAGAGTTGTTGCAAGGGTTCTTAACGTGCAAAGAGCGTGGCACTCTCTTTACACGAGGCATCGGATTTAACGTCCCCATTCTGACCGGACGTGGCTGCAAATTTGTACATCCCGCACAGCCAAACGGACGCCCCACTTTAGCACGGGTTTTACTGCCGGTCGGAGGAAGACCAATGGTGACCATACTTCTATACCCTAGTCACCCTTGGGGGGGGATCAGAATTTGAATAATTACATCTTTTCCAACACAATATCTGCATTGTTTGTCTTTTTAGGCTACTTTCGAAAAGCAAACATTGTAAATATTTATATATATGATAATAAAGGGTAAGAATACACGGTTTTGAACTACGAGAACACCCGACTTCGAAATATTTAATCATCCCTAATTCAATTTAAGGCACAATTGAAAGTTGGAACTTAAAAACACTTAACTCACAATAAATAATGTTCATAATGTATGACTATATTGTAAAAGAATTAAAACAGTACTTGTAATGTCTACCAGTGTTGTTATGAAAAAAAGAATTGGATGTCTGTCAATAAGATATCAAGCTAGCGATAAAGATACACAAAACTCATATTTCGAATAACACACAACCTTCTACAACCCAATGTTATCTATACAATATGTGTGTATTTGGACATTAAAACAACTGTTTACATGTATATGTAAAAAAGTCTACTTTTGTTAAATTTTATTTAATTATTACTTAGCTGGTAATTGTTTAACATTTCACAGCGGTATAACTAGTTACTTTAATTATTCTTCCCTTTATTTATTTTGTACTTGCATTGTATTATAGATCAAATTTATTTGTTCAGTGTATGTTCACCGGTGTTAATATGTCTTTTGATTGAGTGAAGCCATTTCAATTGATATTCCATAGTGTGTTTTTCTATGGTGTGACCCCCAAGGGTGACTGGGGAATAGAAGTGTAGTCACCATTGGTCTTCCTTCGACCGGCAGTAAAACCCTTGTTAAAGTGGGGCGTCCGTTTGGCTGTGCGGGATGTACAAATTTGCAGCCACGTCCGGTCAGAATGGGGACGTTTAATCCGATGCCTCGTGTAAAGAGAGTGCCCGTTAAGAACCCTTGCAACAACTCTTTGAGGGGTCCGTAGGTGACCTGTTGCAAGGCTAAATTTCTGTCCCTATCCAATATACCCTCATTTCTCGTGGCAGTCTAAATTTCTCCGCCCTAATCTATTACAGAACCTACCTATTGCATTTATTGTTAATTTGTTCTCGCTCTGAATATGCATGAAATATTTGCCACTGGACGTTAAGCAACCAACAATCAATCAATCAATCTATGTTGTGATGTTACACTATTGTTTCAGATAAGGGTGAATGTTTGGTACCATTAAAACGTTTAAACCCGCTGCAATTGTTTGCACCTGTCCTAAGTCAGGAATCTGATTTTCAGTATTTGTCGTTTGTTGATGTGGTTCATAAGTGTTTCTCGTTTCTCGTTTTTTATATAGATTAGACCGTTGGTTTTCCCGTTTGAATGTTTTTACACTAGTAATTTTTGGGGCCCTTTATAGCTTGCTGTTCGGTGTGAACCAAGGCTCCGTGTTGAAGACCGTATTTTGACCTATAATGGTTTACTTTTATAAATTTTGACTTGAATGCAGGGTTGTCTCATTGGCACTCATACCACATCTTCTTATATCTATATAATAGTATCGTTTGTCTGTATAAATATATATATAGATTGCCTAACAATGTCATTTTAACACACTATTTAGTATGTAAATATTAGAATGTTTAAAATATTAACAATGCGATAAAAAATAAACGCAATATTTCGCTAGAAAAACTAGCTTCATCAAGCGTGCATCTATCCAGGTGAAATCGGATGTAGATGATAAGAAACTTTTGCAGCTCATTGTACATGTTGCACATGAATTTAGCTGCCTTGTAAAGAATTCAAAATTTGGATGAAGTTCAAGATTATTTACAAAATTGTTGGTTGAAGTTTGCAACGTCCATTGGCCAATATTACAGGATAAAAAGGACGATGCTGTGTACTAAATTATTCTTTATCTTTCCTGTATCTTTTCTCGTCTTTTTCATTAAGACCATCGGGTTCTAAAGTGTGGAGCTGGTGGATCCAAAAGTTTTCTCTACTCCTTCTTCATCCAAATTTTGAATTCTTTACAAGGCAGCTTAATTCATTTGCCATATGTACAATGAGCTGCAAAAGTTTCTTATTATCTACATCCGATTTCACCTGGATAGATGACGCTTGATGAAGCTAGTGTCTTAGCGAAATATTGCGTTCATTTTTTATCGCATTGTAAATATTTTAAACATTATAATATTTACAAACTAAATAGTGTGTTAAAATTACATTGTTAGGCAATCTATAATTGTATTTGTGTAATTGAATTAATCTCTGTACTGATTAATCCACACTCAAATAGATTTGTATGTCATGTGTTCCTATTTACAGGCACATAAATATATATATGCATGTATTGGTCATTTGCAGGTAATATTTTGACTTTGATTTTCCACTTTGATCTTTCAAAAATATTTTAAAAATCTTTATCTGCATTGTCCTTACTGGAAGTCGCGAATAAACGAGATACAAAGAAGGTGTTTTATAATGAAGTCGGGTAAAAAGGGTTAGTTCTCCAGTATATATATTCGTTTTGCAATATTAAAACAAATCTTATTATTCGATATCTAGAATTTAAGTAGTATTTGCTACGATTATTCAGAGCATTGTTGGTGGCATAAAGAAATGAATTCATATTTGTTTTCCATTTAAAAAGAGAGACGAAAGATATCAAAGGGACATTCAAACTCATAAGTCGAAAATAAACTGGCAATGTCATGATTAAAAAAAATAATAATAAACAGTACACAAAACACTAAAAACTAAAGACCGAGGAACAGGAACCCTACCCAAACTTAGGGCGATATCAGATGCTCCGGAAGGGCAAGCAAATCAGGCTCCACATGAGGAATTCGTCGTGTTGCTCATGTAAGTATAAACCCAGTGATAAGTCTAATTCAGTAAATCACATTCAAGGAAAAGGGAAGAAATTGTATTTACGCCAATCGGAACAGATCCGTCGTCATCTGTGAAACAGATATTCCATAACATTCAATCAACGCATGACATTTACGAAGGGATGATTTTATATGATATTACCTTTGTCCTTTGTAGTGCCTTTTTTACAAATTGAGTCAGTCATTTCCTTGATTTCCTTAATTTTTGATATGGAATGTTTTCCTGAATTCTGAAATAAGGATGGCGAAAGCTCTAATCTGGTTTTCATCACATTTGTATGGTAGTCTTTCTCATCGAAGAATTTATCATCTTCTGTATCTAAACAATTAAAATAAATAGTAACGTTTAGAAAATAAATTACAAATGTGAGATAATTAATGTTTATATTATAGAATAACATACAGCTATAACAAAACTACATTTTTCAATACAACAAATGTGTATTTACAATGTTATATTTATAATTCTAGTATGACGTGCGTCTTTGGCTTTGTAAGCAACATCGTGATCAAATTCTCGATATAAATGTATATTTACTTATTGCAGACTCAGAGATGTACATAGTACATATCAATGGCTGTTATTAGTTACCTCTCACGTAAATCCAAATGTATCGTAACCTATGTACAAACACTACGTTAATTTTGTTGTGTTCAAATTGAATTAGGAGAGACCATACAGAACCGGTATTTCTATTCTAATGCATAACAAAAAGAAGTCATGCATAAGATCTATAAAATGTATTAAATCAAAATAAAATTCTGAAAAATTTCATGAATCATCTTGGCGCATTAACGATATATCAAAACATGACGTCATACGAATGATAACTCAAGCTAAAGGTTATTCCGTTTCGTGTACGCTTTAAATTCGGATAATATCGCACTAAAAGGAGGTTTTGAGGTAGCTGTTGCTTCATTTTCTGTTCTATTGCATCTTTAAGCTAGCTAAACCTCTCACTTGTATGACAGTCGCATACAATTTCATTGTATTGACAACGATCAAAGTGATCAAGTCTTCAATATTAAAAACTTACTTCCATTAGTCTATACAAAAACAAATGCCAACAATAACTACTTGGTAGTTTTCAAGAGTTTTGTGAATTGATTTTCACTAGTTCATCATCAATTTATTCATCTGTTGTTTGTGCGAAACGTTTCAATTTTTTTCAACGTCATGTTGTTTTTACAAAGGAACGTAATACTGCTACTAACCCAATATTAAAATGACCATGCCCACTAACCCCATATTGAATAAACACGGTCTCAAAGGGGTCACTTTTAATCAATTGTATAACTAGACATGCATTGGAGGTAAGATAATCAGACAATGTAAATTATAATCGTCAAAATATAAGTAGGTGTTTAATTTGTCATTCAAAAGCATTTCGTATATGTTCCAATTCATTACCCTTAGTATCATATTTTGTGAGTTTGTTACGCAATACAAATTAATTTATTTTTACATTTTAGCAGTTGCTTATTAAGATTAAAGTTTCCATGGGTTAAAGTTATTCAAGATGTAAATTAACGTTTACACACCGATGTTCAAATCTCGTAAATCGATTACGAATGAAGGAGACAATAAAACACTGGTCTAAATCACTTGATGTCAATTAGTATTTCACTAGAAGCAACTGAAATAAAATTGAAATTCTTCCATTCTACAAAAATTATGCGAAAGTTCTTCAGATATGTTGTATAACATTCATAACTGTGTGGGAAAATGCAAAAATAAAAGTAACAGTTACAAACAAAAATGAAAGATTCGCATGAACCTCAAAAACTGTTAAACCGGCTACGTCAACAGGGTAAGTGTCTTCTGTTATAGATGAAACCTTCGCTTTGCATATCCACACCAAGTCAAACTGTCATAAAAGGCAACAGGATAGAATCGGAAAAAAATAACAGATTAGTTTTTTTTATCAAAACAGTAAGGTTAAAAAGTTTAACGTGAACTCAATATGTGCTATTAGATACATGTGATACATTGGGCAAATGTCCAGTAGTTCCGAGTTGAAAAGGTGTCGATGGCAATTGAAGTGGACAAAAAAAGCTTGCAAAAGACTTGAATTCCGTTTACTGCGCAAGGATATCAGTTGATTTTTTTTTCGTATATCAATTCGGGGTTTGAAAGAAAAAATCATAAGAGATGATTAAGGTTTATTTACACAAAGTTAATGAAAGAGAAAGAAGGTTAAAATCTGCAAAAATGATAAGCGGCATATCATATATACAAATTAAGGACGGTAAAACGTCTATACTTTATGATATTGAACAAAGATCTGGTTAACGTAAGAGACATTGTCGAGAGTTTTACAATGTATTAATAACTGATTTTACGCAATAGCTCTTGCCTCAGTATTATCATACGCACAGGTTCGATATTTATTTCTCTGAATATCCTCACTTTATATGTTTGATGTATTTGGCTTCAGTCTAACGTTTTCAATTTGCTAGTAATGATTTATAAACTAAATAGTTGACTCAGAAATATCGATTTTCCTGTTTTAGATATAACTGCGCTTTCGGAATATTATTGATAATGGCTCCAATTAAAAGGTAAAGTGGTAACATACACTGCCATTGGCATACACGGCCTGATTATATTAATCACTGGACTTGTACTTGCCATGATGTTACTAGTGATACAGCATTTACTGACCGATACGGAACACTTTTATAGTTCTTTGCACGTATCTGGAAGATTTATTGTTTTTTAATCGTAAGTTTTCTTATATGGTGTAATTGGTCATATTTCCACTCTTTTTCCTTGAAGCCATGTTATAATAACAAACTTGTTTAAGAGTTTGGCTTGATTTACACGAAAAAAGCGTAATGTTATTCAAAAGGTTACGATTTGTGCGCCTAAACGATAGATAAAGATTACAGCTTTGCGAACAAGAGCATAGTTTGTTTGAAAAGAAGGATTTTCTCTCCTAGCATTAGGACCTGGGAAGATTAAAATGGAAACTATGGTTGAGGAACAGTGTAAATACATATTTGTGCAGTCATAGTCTTTTCAGTAAGTTTATTCGACAAACAGATCATGATACGGGCCAAAGTCATCGAGCAACAGTTTGTATACCTCTCCGACTAATACATACGGTTGACATTAAAATAGTCTATATCTTTGGTCTGGCATTTTTTTTATTTGGACAAGACATCCCGATGGAATAAGTATGTGGATAATGATACGCAGTACGGTTGCCAATAACGCAGCATTGCATCAGAGTCATACCGATGCAAAAGATAAGCTAATATGACCTTCAACAATTAGCAAAATTATACCATACAGAATGCTAATAAAAGAGAGGTAAAGCAAGTACAAGCTAATGATATGTAAAAAAACGAAAAATAATAATATCATGCAGCAACCAACACCTTACATCGAATTTCACATTCCTTACTCAAATTACCTTGAACAGGCACATCAAGAATGATGTGGCGTAAAGCATGCTATAAAACCAGGTTTAATCCACCATTTTCTACGTTAGAAAATGCCTGTACCAAGTCAGGTATATGACAGTTGTTATCCATTCGTTAGATGTATTTAAGTTTTTGATTTTCCCATAGCTTTTAGGACTTTCCGTTTACAATTTTCCTCGGAATTCTTAACGTTTAGATAGCGTGGCACTCTCTTTACACGGGGCATCATATTTAGCGTCCCAATTTTGACCGGACGTGGCTGCAAACTTAAACATAATGCATAGCCAAACGAGCCCACTTTGGCAAGGATGTAATTGTTGGAAGAAGACAGGTCTAAAGACAAGTCTGTGAATGGTGACAAACTCGAAAGGCTTGACTCTTACAACTCAATACTAAAGACTTCAAAACAATCGTTCAAATCATATATTGGTACAGTCATTTTACAGAGAAACATTGAGTTAAACAAAGTTTTTCAGCTAGGTAAATATCCCACGTGTTTAACCTTGAAGACTTAACCACAGTGTTAAATTGATAACCTTAAGAAATTGGGGTTTTCAAAGAAACAATATGCGTTCCAGATAGGATCGTATTAAAATTTAAAGGACCAGTCTAAAGATGACATGTCCACATGTATGTTCTCCCTCGTAACCGGTGAAACGCTGAGCTAAGTGTAGCAAAATGGCAGATACTAATAGGGAATTAAATAGATATAAGAAGATGTGGTATGAGTGCCAATGAGACAAATCTCCATCCAAGTAAAAAATTATAAAAGGAAACCGTTATAGGTCAAAGTACGGTCTTCAACACAGAGCATTGGCTCACACCGAACAGCAAGCTATAAAGGGCCCTAAAACATTACTAATGTAAAACCATTCAAACGGGAAAACCAACGGTCTTATCTATATAAAAAACGGGAAACGAGAAATACTTATGAACCACATCAACAAATGACAACTACTGAACATCAGATTCCTGACTTAGAACAGGTGCAAACAATTGCAGCGGGTTTAAACGTTTAATTGATTGATTGATTGATTGTTGGTTGCTTAACGTCCAGTGGCAAATATTTCATGCATATTCAGGACGAGAACAAGTTCACAATAAATACAATAGGTAGGTTCTGTAATAGATTAAGGGATTAAGGTCGGAGAAATTTAGACTGCCACGGGAAATGAGGGTATATTGGATAGGGACAGAAATTTAGCCTTGCAACAGGTCACCTACGGACCCCTCAAAGAGTTGTTGCAAGGGTTCTTAACGTGCAAAGAGCGTGGCACTCTCTTTACACGAGGCATCGAATTTAACGTCCCCATTCTGACCGGACGTGGCTGCAAATTTGTACATCCCGCACAGCCAAACGGAAGCCCCACTTTAGCAAGGGTTTTACTGCCGGTCGGAGGAAGACCAATGGTGACCATACTTCTATTCCCAAATCACCCTTGGGGGAGATTAAAACGTTTAATGGTACCAAACCTTCACGCTTATCTGAAACAATAGTGTAACATCACAACATGGAAAGAACACTATAACATATCAATTGAAATGGCTTAACTCAAGCAAAAGACATTAACACCAGTGAACATAAACTGAACAATAAATTTGATCTATGATACAATGTAAATACAAATTAAAAAAAAAAAGGGGCCTCGGTGGCCGAGTGGTCTAAGTAGTTACTACTGTAATCACTAGCCAGTCAACACTGAGGTTGTGAGTTCGAACCCCGCTCGTGCGGGTGCACTCGACTCCAATCTTAATTGACTAGGATTGTCAGTTTTCCTATCGAAGGTCGGTGGTTTTCTCCAGGCACTCCGGTTTCCGTCGCCAATAAAAACTGGCCGCCTCGAAATAGCCCAAATGCGGGGCTTAAAGTGGCGTTAAAACACCGAAAAT